TGGATGATATGTCACAAAAGTAAAGGTCAAGGTCAACACAGTATTTTGTGATAGAGGCAAAGCAGTCCCGGAAGTAAACACGAGGAAAATGGAAAAGTCCAAAAAGCATTAACACAAATTTCAATCAAGTACTGTGCTTATGCTTCATCATGAACAAAACATAGCTGATATGGTTTCATCAAAATGTGTGTTCTAACCTCTAGAGGGTAAGTAAGACTCCTAATCTTCAGATAAATCTTATTTTTCAAGTTCTACCGACGAAGTCAGGCCATGAAATCTACTTTAACTTGAAAGTCGCTGATGGTTAATTGACCCCTGGACCCCTTGTAATTGACCTAACGAAAATTATGAACCAGGAATTATGATTGAAAATCGTGTTGAAATTGAAAATCAATAACATCGATTCAAATATCAGAATATTCAAAAGTCTAATTAGTACAACTGACAAAAATTTTGAAAATTGAAACGATCCCAACTTTCACATGAGATTATTTGTGTTCTCGCTGCAAGTACCGGCCATGGAATGCTTTCATTTTAACCTTTGGTGATTGTGTAACATGCATGCATCATTCTTACCTTCGAAAGCTGGCAGTACGGCTCCCAAGTTGCTTTTAAGCAGCAATATTCTTGAACTTGGAACTGTCCTCCATGTTGATTTCGACGCGGGAATTCCTCTATTTCTATTGGTTGATAGAACAGAATACGATAAAAAGCCGAACGAGAAATACATCAAATTTGCGAACGATGTACTTTTCGTTTGTAACGCTCGCCCTTGTTGAAAGGGACTAAAATTTTTGTCCCGAAGTCTGACAAATCGCCGGAAGAGTGGAGTTTTAGTCAATTTACCGATAATTCGCAAACTTTAGTCCCGGTGTAAAAGGGTAGGAGGTCCTATCAAATTATGGTCCTACTTTCCATTGATTTATATGGTGACCTAAATACAACTCTCCCTTATTATCGTATCCACAATCAGGGCCAGTAAGGGCCTTTAAGAAAGGGGACCATAATCCCCAGGGGACCATAATTTCTTTTACACCGGGACAGAACGTCAGACTTTTGTCAGCAATAACCCATGGCAAAATTACAACGTCGGAGAAACGTTTTCTTTACATCATATTTCCACTCTCACTCTCAATTACCACGTTAAGTTCATCTGTGTGAGCCAACATATGCCTGTGCCTCCACCGATCAGTATTTAAAGTTACCACAACTCGAGGCATACATGTATATTCGTTATATATTTAACATTTACTTCACGTCACAAATTAAACGAATTTGTTGAGACCACAACGTCTTTGTCACGTTCTTTTTCACATACATGTATATGTATTTTTCACGTTTAAACCCCGTTTCGTCAACGTCAAAATTAACTGTTTCGACAACGTTGCAAATAAACCAATTTCGTGAGGACATAGCGTCTTTTTGTAACGTTTCCTGCACTTACAAATATTTTTTTACATTTCAATTGAAAACAGGTTTCGACAACGTTGAAATTAACCGTTTGCACTACGTTGAAAATGAACCATTTTGGTCAGAAAATGACGTCTTTGTAACGTGTGTTACAATTACAAATATTTTTCACATTCAAACCATGTTTTGACAACGTTACAATTAGCCATTTTCACTACGTGGCAAATGAACCAATTTGGTGGGAAAACAAGAACTTTGTAACGTTTCCTAGACTTACAATTATCTTTCACATTTAAAACACGTTACGACAACGTCAAATTTTACTGTTTATATTACGTAGCAAATGTAACAATTTGGTGAGAACTGCAACGTCTTTGTAACGTTTTCTACACTTACAAATATCTTTCACATTTAAAACACGTACGTTACGACAACGTCAAATTTTACCGTTTACATTACGTAGCAAATGTACCAAATTTGGTGAGAACGCAACGTCTTTGTAACGTTTTTTACACTTACAAATATCTTTCACATTTAGAACACGTTACGACGACATCAAATTTTACCGTTTATATTACGTAGCAAATGAAACAATTTGGTGAGAAGTGCAACGTCTTTGTAACGTTTTCTACACTTACAAATATCTTTCACATTTAAAACACGTTACGACAACGTCAAATTTTGCCGTTTACATTACGTAGCAAATGTACCAAATTTGGTGAGAACACAACGTCTTTGTAACGTTTTTTACACTTACAAATATCTTTCACATTTAGAACACGTTACGACAACATCAAATTTTACCGTTTATATTACGTAGCAAATGGAACAATTTGGTGAGAAGTGCAACGTCTTTGTAACGTTTTCTACACTTACAAATATCTTTCACGTTGAAAACACGTTACGACAACGTCAAATTTTACCGTTTACATTACGTAGCAAATGTACCAAATTTGGTGAGAACACAACGTCTTTGTAACGTTTTCTACACTTACAAATATCTTTCACATTTAAAACACGTTACGACAACGTCAAATTTTACCGTTTATATTACGTAGCAAATGAAACAATTTGGTGAGAACTGCAACGTCTTTGTAATGTTTCCTGCACTTACAAATATTTTACACATTTAAAAAACGTTACGACAACGTTAAATTTTACCGTTTATATTACGTAGCAAATGAAACAATTTGGTGAGAAGTGCAACGTCTTTGTAACGTTTTTTACACTTACAAATATCTTTCACGTTTAAAACACGTTACGACAACGTCAAATTTTACCGTTTACATTACGTAGCAAATGTACCAAATTTGGTGAGAACACAACGTCTTTGTAACGTTTTCTACACTTACAAATATCTTTCACATTTAAAACACGTTACGACAACGTCAAATTTTACCGTTTATATTACGTAGCAAATGAAACAATTTGGTGAGAACTGCAACGTCTTTGTAATGTTTCCTGCACTTACAAATATTTTACACATTTAAAAAACGTTACGACAACGTTAAATTTTACCGTTTATATTACGTTGCAAATGAACCAAACTGGTAAAAATTCAACGTCATTGTTACGTTTTTCACACCAGCACAAATTTCGAACTTTACTAACACATTACTACAACGTCATTTTTTAACCATCCACCGACGTTTTGCTGAATGTCACAATTTTACGTTGCTTTGACGTTTATATAACGGAAATATACAACGTCTCCAGTGAACTTATATACCACATATGAGTGACGTTACATGGACGTCACTGTTTGCTGGGTTACTCACAAATGGGAAAAAATCACAGGCATTTTAAGATTTAGTGTTTGACCATAGTTATAATCAGTTTTACACCAAAATAATAGTCGGTGTATGGCCGTGTTAACAGCAGCAATGTTTTTCATATTTTCATATTTTTGTAATCCTCATAAAATCTTTTGAAGGCATTTTGAAGAGTGTCCTTGGAGTATCTACCCTCAACGTCCTCTTTTTAGAACTCAATATGCATCCTATCTTCGACAATAGCACCCATATTTTCTGTCACATTCAGGTCAGGCCTGTTTCTAAGATACTGAAATAAACTATATTTTTGGCCGAGTACTAAGTTTTCAAATGTCTGTAACTTTTTCCCATTTGTGAGTTGAACCATAATACTTTGCAAATCAATGTAACTTTGGCTGAGCTTTAAAGTGTCTCACATATTCGATCAAAACTTGCCATGCAAACATGTTAGTCTACTTTACTGGCCCCCCTTGCTGTAACAAGGAACCCAAAACACATTAAAACGTAAACATAAACCAATTAGTCACTTCACTATGAAAGTGAGGGGTGTTACGCTGTGTGCATGGACTAACACAATATCAGTGGTCATTTACTGTGTCAACTTAGTAACCCTTGCATATCGTGCTCACTCAAGTATTGAATAATTTTTTTATGATCTAAATGTTTCTGGTTTATAAGAAATTTGTGATATATTTTAGTTAGAAATACATTAATTAATATATTCATTCAAACAGCACTAGAATGCTGGAAGAAAGAGCAATGGTGACAAAATGCAAACAGAATCTTCCGTAAGGGTTTCAAACATTTCTGAACACAATCATACGTGTACTGTTATTTTTAGTGCTGTATTTATAGATATAATTTCACGTATTTAAATCATATTTTCCAGCAATGACTTCAAATTCGGAACCACACCCATATCACATTTTCTTCAATAACTCCAAACATGTGTAAACATTGACCATGTGCATATAAATTCAGATTTCACGAGCTCTTTCTTATTCGAGTACCTCATACACCCCTGCATGGATTTGAGTTGGATTCGCCTTTTATACGTGAGCCGACACACTCGCAAACGCTGATTGGATAAAGATTGCGAGAATCTTTAAGACACATACTTTGGAGGCATTGGTATATGTTTACCTAAAGGGCGCCCCATACTTTCGGGACACCCTGTATAAAACCAGCTCGACATTACAATAGCAAAATATTATTTCTTGATGCGTATCGATGAAATTGATGCTTCACGCTAAACAAAGAGAACAAAATGAGATATTAGCATTGATTGGCATGATCGTATCTGCAATATATTACATTTTTATGTACTTGACTTTGCACCGAGCGAATCGTTTTCAAAGTTCGTAGCTGCAATTCTCAATCATACACGTTCTAGAGTTTTGTAATATATGACACGTATGTTTGTTTCGGTGTCAAGAAACTAAAAAATATATAATCGAAGGGTCTAGGAGGGCAATTTGTGCTTTTCTTATTCAGATAATAAATGAGAAAATACTGTCAACAACAGTCTTTCCTTTGATCATTATGACAACAAAAAGAGAGGTTTTCTATGATGCTGCTAGAACAAAACATTGTCCTTCTAAAAGATTCATTGATACAATTGTTAAAATATATGTGGAATGAGTATCCGCCTTGCAACGGTACCCATGGCTAAAAATGACTGATTACTTTCATGGCTTGGGAAACAAAAGCTAATAGAATAGGACGATGTTAAATTTTCTCAACATGATGAACATGTCTTTTCCATGAAAATATATAGTTATTCTTGTAACCGAACTTATCTTGATAGAGATTTATTCCATTTAAGAAGACGCAGTAATAATCTCTTGAATTAAAGTGACGAATCTCTGTAATTCATTTATACATTACGCTTAGTTTAATTTCAATATCTACTCAATAAATGTTTTAGTCCGCCGGGCGTCTCCTAGGGGGGACACATGGGCTAATCCGGGGAGGATCCATCACCGATCAATCAGAGTATTTTCCAATTTTCTCCCTTACAGGAACACTGTCAATGGGGAAGCAACGCTAGCTGCTGCGAGTAGTCGGGAATGGCTGAATTCACTGTGTATGGTCATTTACCTTATTTAAGGTTCGTGAGATTGATTGTTTGTGTTTTACGGGCTGCAGGTAGGCTCGACGTTGTAGATTCAGTTCTTAGTCGTTTCCGTGAACTTATGCGACATTTCTTGCAACACGCGACAAAACTATGTCGAAACATTTTGACATATTTAACGAAGGAAAGTCTGAATTGTTTCGAGCAGGAAATATATAGAAAAAAGTTGATGGCAAAACTTGTGTAATAGAGCTCCTGGCAAACTTGCTGTAGGAGAACTATACCATCGGCAGCTAATGACATGTCCGTGTGAATCCTTGGAGAAAGCAGAACAAGTGCTCGCAAGCTGTAACTCGGTAGATTTAGGACAAGGAAAGCTATTGAAATGACTACAAGGACGACAGTGACTTTCATTTGAACATTATGTTCTTCACCGCTGCGACCTGAGCACCTCCTTAGTATCAATCCAGTGGCGCTATTTGTAGCACTAGCGGCGTTTCCTCCCTGATGCCGATAGAACAACGCTATCTTGTATATGATACTACAGTTAAGGACCAATATCAAGAGGAATGGGATGAAGAAGGTTATGGCTATGTCAATGTACGTAAGGGCGGAGTGGTAGTGATGAGTGCCCTCTAACTGTGCACATTGCCATCTCTCTTGAAAATATATCAACCCAGTTGTCCACAGTGTACTACAGTACGTCAACAGTCCTATGAGTGTTACCGTTATGACCACAGCTTTGGCGCGTCTTTCTGTACACATGATGTGCCGCTTAAACGGGAAAAAGACGGCGATGTAGCGTTCAGTAGAAAAGCAGACGAGGAACCAAACCGAAAGAAACCCACATGTATAAGATAGGTATATGTTCATCTGACACAGGACGCTACGATTATATGCATTTACGTTGAAATGTTCTACCCAGGTTCCGAATACGGTCATAAGGAGCACCGAGTCGGAAACTGCGATAGAAGCCAAATATACACTGGACGACTGGTGCCTTTGGATTCCAACTCCGTAAATCATGAATGATATGAAATTTCCGATCAGTCCAACGATGATGATAACTGGGGTGATGTACATGTTTAGAACGGAAACAAGTGGATATATATGTGAAAAATCCTGTTCATATTCATAATACGAACTTTCATTTTGCATCAAGTTTGTCAAATCATTATCCTGTATCTCATAAATTCCTCCTCCAAGCGTCGATTCCGAACCATTGTTATTTCCTTCAATTGAATAATTAAATGTGCCATCGAGACTCATCGCAAATTGTATTCTTGTCGTAATCGTTGAACGTCTTTAGATATCACTGGAAACAAACGTAAGTATTGTAATGATTTTTGTTAAAGTACGTTTATCATCACGATTTAAGATTATTTCCACCGATGCTCCGTTCCTGACAATGTACTTATATATATCCGAGCGAGGCAAACGTGCGTCGAGTCATTTTTCAATTGATATACGAACTGATTGGTGTATGCTGCTTTAATAGGCGAATGACAGATCAGAATATTTGCCGGCAATGTAACACTCATTTCTGACAACCAATAAGAAATCTTTGATGTCAAGGCATTTCGATATTAAAAAACGTGTGTGTATATTCGACTCGACTTTTTTCAAGATGAATGTTCCAGTGAAGCATATATGATTTATTCCATATTCAATAGTTCCATTAGGATTCTATGATTTTTACGATTTCATCCCGATACATCTGTTGTTAGTATCAAGTACGTACCTTTGAATTTACTCCGAGATGTATGTGCCAGGTCTTTCCTTTCAAAAGTGTTTTCCTTATTGCTGCAAGTTCCATAAGTATCACGGTAGGCAAGTTAGTCTGCGGAAATTACAAAATTGTTTCAGCTCTTGCTAGATTCCAGCTTATGAAAGACCGACTTCAAACTTGGGATGCAATGCGAGTGATATATTGGTCTTTCTCCTAGAAGCGAGTGTAGTCTGTTTGTTTGTATTCTGATACTCTCCGCTCCTATGTCGTTTAATTAGTTATTTTCTCCGATCAAACGTTATAAAAACCTCACTGATGAAGACATGAATTTCCTAACTGCCCCTTCTCAGCTCTCTGAGTATTAACTCCTCATTTATCGCTAGTATGACCAGTTAACGTATATCAATGCAAAATGCACCAAGCTTGTAACTAATCATTAGCTTTCTTAGTGTAAGTAGAACTTCAGTAGAGAAAACTATTTAACTTGAGTTCTGGGTAACTTATTTCCTTTGAACACACTATAAGTAAAAAGGCATTGAAGGATTTTTGTTTGAGAAGTAATCTGACTTGCAAATTGGCGATATCTATCTTGCTTAGTTAACAGATTGGAATGTGAAATACCATCTTACAAGGAACAAAATGGCCACAGGCAAAGCTACTACACCATTTGCCTTTTACAAAATACCCCACACTTGAGCACGTCGTATTTTCAATAGAATAGTCAATATTTAGAAGATATTTGCTAAGTAAACCATATGTTATTTGTGTTGCTGCAAATTCTAGAGGTAGATATTTTTATTCAAGGGTATTTTGGAGTAAGCAAACTGTCAAGAAGTATTTTCTAAGTTCTTTGTTCAAATTCATACGATTTCAAAATCACCCACATCTTCGCCTTGCTTATTATCAACTCGTATGCCTAGTATATGGCTAGTATAAATAGAGGATATCCTATGATTTTTGGGGGATACTATTTTTATCCATGAGTGGATATCGCTCATCTCCACGAGTGAGCGCAGCGAATGAGTGGAGATCCGCGATATCCAAGAGTGGATAAAAATGATAGCCGAGAAAATCATAGGATATCATATTTATCCGATGGTCGCTATTTTTGTATGGACTTCAAATAATTTGACCTCAAGTTGCTGTTATCTAACTCATTTTTACTGAGCATATAACCTTCGAGCTTTTCACATTTTTCCAAATACTTTATCAATTTTTTCCAATTTTTCATATTTTTATTCTTATAATTTTATTTTCATATTTTTTCCAGTTTTTTTCAAAATTTCAAATTTTTCAAATATTTTTTTTTTCAAAATATTTTTTAAAATAGTATCCGACGCCATATGGATCGGATACGATTTTAGTGGCGTATACGAAAATTATGTTGTGTTGGTATCCCCATATATATTTATATAGTATCCATCGGATAAAGTTAAATCCCTAATAAACGCTACGCAAATCACTGAAAAGGAACTACGCACTGCAGCGTTTAAGATTTATGATAACGATGCTTATATTCTCTGGGAATCTATAAAACATACCTGAATAACTTTTTTCTTAAACCTCTAAAAGGCGAGATGTGACATTTGTAGTATTTTTCTTAGATAAATGAAGCAAATTGTTAGCCGGAAACCCAGGGGGAATAACCCCAGGGTTCAAAGAAGATCTATATCTATCATGTAAATCTGTATTGGAATAATACTCTGTTAATTTCTGGCGTTTTGATATATATATATCATAGCTTGTTATTTTGGATCAAGATAAAAAAAGGTAATGAATGTGCTAACATCGATTTAAATATCACAACGAAAACTTACTTGTGAAAAGAAGCACGAACAATTTCAGATCTTGAATTATGAGTATTTTCTGACAATGAAGACGGGTGTATCTTTTAGATCCATTCACTATCTCAAAGAAAATTATAGACAGCAATAATTAAGTCAAGCAAATTCGAAGATATTTAACTTAGTCTCGCAATCAACCAATCAACTCACTTTTCAAAAATGTTGACCTCATTTTCACCAAAAATGCAATCAGTTTTTACATTGTTTAATGCATTACTATCCTCTATTTTAATGTATCAAATATTTCTTGAAAGAAAAACTTAATTGCTTTAGGAAAAGTGTCCCCCGTGTTATTTCTCCATTGAAAAACATCATGCTATCCACTGGTTTCAGTTCATTTTGGTCATCCAAATTCAGTATATTTAAAGTCCCTGGAGCAATCAAATTTTCCTTTTAGGAAATCGAACAAGTCTCAAAACACATTCTAATCATGCATTCAACAATATAATAAAAGGTTGTATTATTGGTGAACATTAGGTCAACATTTTTGAAAAAGCATATTGATTGGTCCACTTTGGTCTGATTAACTAAATTATCATTATACATTATATACTTTACTTGAAGATAATGAATGGATCTAAAAGATACACCCATGTTAGTGATCAGAAAATATTCAGAATTCAAGTTAAAATCGTTTGAAATTGTTTGCGATAACCTACGTGCTCCTTTGCGCAAACAAAGGTGGTATGCAAGGGACGTTAGTATATTTGTTTTCTGTTAAGCTCTGGGGCTTTCCCCCTCTTCCGGAAACCCAATTAGTTTTAAATAAATTTTGTTCTGAGCACAATGCTCAGATCGTGCTTATTCAAAGCGTAATTAATGTTCCCTGAGGGAACAAAAATATATCGAGTAAAATGAAGAGATCAAATACTTAAGGTTTCCCCTTTAAGCAAAATAAAATGTAGTTCCTCTCAATCCAAGGTTTCTCCTTTAAGCAAAATAAATCTGTACAATCCATTATGTCATAAAATGATTAAGAGAAATAAATCAACTAGGCTCTTTATTGGGTATCTCGTCTGAACAGCCAATATCCTATAACATGTTAACTGCCAGTGTGTAATAATGGTAATGACGATGCTTCTACAATCGGATCATCCTTCTTCAAAGGACTTCATTTATGCTTCTACGATCGGATCGAACAATTTTTTGAAAAAGTGTGACGTAACTTAATTAATCTAAGATAAAGATTGAGTATGCGTAACCTGACTAAACGAACTGAATCAGTGATATAATTCTGAAAGGTTCATGTGCAGTATGGCAAGAGATTTTAGACGGTCATATCTTTAACCATGGGTACTTTCTGGCCATCAATAAACAATATGTTTTATTTCAGGTGAAGTCCCCATCATAGTGAAATATCAATTTAACTCCCTGAAAAATTATGGATTGCCCCCCCCCCCCGTCACTTTTATAAAAATGTTAGGCTCATTTTCTAAAATCACTTGCCATACTGCACATAGACCTTTAAGTAAGACACGTTAGTTATATCCGATTTAGGTCACCTTGATTTCCTTGGCCAAACTACAATGTACCTCATATATCAGATATTTGGAATAGGTCCTCATAGGCATTTATTTTCATATTACAACACATATCACAAGTATAGATGTAAAGGCCTTCTCATATATTGGCAAAAACTGACGTCAACTTGCGTGTACTGACGATTTACCAATTCATTAAATTAATCCGCAAGACTGGAATTCATAAATGAATCTGTTTCCCTTTAAACATCAGTGCTGAGGATAATGATAATCCTCGGAAAGTACTTAACATTTTCACACTGCATTGTCGGCCTTTAATTCAACATCTAGGTATTGTATTTAAGGTTCTAGATAATGATGCTCATCTATGTAAATCTATAAAACACTAGCTCAATAGCCTTCTTTTAAGGTCACTACTTTACTCTCCAGTTTGCTCTAAATTTTTATTTCCGGTGGGCGCGCATTTTTAACAAAATAGTCCGTATGATGTTTTAATACACTCCCCTCCATAAGTTTGGCAACCTTAGCCAATTCATTGAACTACGTGTTAGATTCTCTTTATTCTCTTTATATTTGAATTTCTATTTACATAACCTGTGACGAAAATACTTATAATACTTATGATGATCTGAGAAAAAACATATTACAGGGTGTCCCAGAACAGATCTTCTTGAGGGAGATATAAGGCATATATGATTTTTCCTCAAATTTAGTGCACTTATTAAACATACATTGAAGAATAAGTGACATGAATTTCAAGCACGTATCTTTTATATTTTCGAATTTATTGATATTTGAATACTACACCGCCACCAAGCCCGGTGTAGTCAGAGAAATACAACAATTTAGGTCACATTTTGATAATATTTACACAACTTCTCTACTATAACAGCATTGGTTTTATTGAATTATTTCAGCATTTCGCTACATTAGCTAACGTATCTCTTCAGAGTAGTTCTCCTTGTAGTATACTATCTGCAGTTGATGTCTTTTCAGCTACTCTTTATACACATTCTGAATTGCTGTTATCCATTCCCATAGGCTCCCCTGAAGCAACATGATTTAATTCCTCCTCTGTTTCAGAGACATGGCCCACTAATCTTTGTTTAAGGTCCCAAAAGAAATGAAAGTCTCGTAGAGAAACATCTTACAAGAATATGGAGCTATATATATAAAGTAATAGTCTCAGTAGAAAGTAAACTGGGTGAAATACTGACATGTAGTGACTTATGCACTGATGCATTGTCAATATGCAAAATCATATTGCCAAGCAAATGGGACATTTCGTTTAGTCCCTCACGGGAACATGTCATATGATCCTTCACCGAACCAAATATACAATCCGTTGATGTATGGGGTCTCTATCAAAATGTTTATATCATTTTATCAAAGTGCTTAATAAATATGAGGAACATGCTCAACTAATCTAATACAAAAAAATGTGTGTATGAATTGACAAAATGTGACATATTTCTGACAACTCCGGGTTTTTTGGCGATGTAGAATTCAAATGTCAATAAATTCGAAAATATGAAAGATATGTACCCAGAATTCAGGCCAGTTATTCCCCAATGTATGTTTAACTAGTGCACCAAATTCAAAGAAAAATCATGTATGCCTCATATCTCCCTCAAAAATTATCATGAGTTCCGGGACACCCTGCACTTTGATGAGGTAAATTTTAAAGATTTGGATAATGAAGGTAGCAAAATTGAATTTCTTTTTAGGGAACATACCTGTAAAATTGCGGAGAACATGTGATATTGATTTCCGTGTATTAATTTTGTACATCCTATTGTTAACATACGTACAGTGGTTAATAAGCCCAAGGTGGGCTGGGTAACATTGTAATTTTTTTAATATTTTATTGAATTGTATTAGACTGAACACTATAGATAAATAAATAAACTTAACTAAACTAAACTATAATATTGATGGGAATGTAACTTGACTTCATTTCCAATGCCTCTAAATTTTCCCAATTTTTTCCTCAATTACAAAGGTCGAAAATTGATGATGTATCTGATGAATTTTTGAAAATCGGTATTCCCATGTAAACG